CTGTAATTTTGTCTGTTCATATCCTTTGTCAGTTTTTTGATCGGGCTGTCTTTTTGATACTGATTCAACAGTGTCCTTTGCGATCCGGATCCTGTATTTTATGCATTGAGAATATCACTCCCCAGTGTATGGCTTATCTTCCCATCTTTGTTGACGGTGTCTTATGTTGAACTGAAGTCTTCAAGTTCACAAAAGTAAATCCATCTCCTCTCACTGAGCACAGAGCTAGACTGAGCTGTCAGTAGGAATGGCCTTGTGACTACCTTTTAAACATATGATACAAGTGCAAGTAATACGTGCCAGGATATAACTGTATTTCCTGATCAAGGCTTTTAGGAAGTTGGTTCATCCTCCCCATACTTTATTTCCCCTTCTGGCTGACAAGGGTGGAATGGCTGCTGTGATTTTGGAGGCCATGGCTGGAAGATGGAAGGGCCTCCATCAACCTGTGCCCCTGAGTGACCCTACGGAGGAGAGAGTCTCTCCTCAACCAGGAACACCTGCGTCGGACTGCTAAATGAGTGGAATAAACTTCTCTTACATTTGTGTTGCTATGCATTTTGGAATCTTATTATTACAATAGCAACTAGCATTAGCTTAAATAATAAGATAAATTTGTCAGTATTTTTCTTTGTGATTTTTGTATTTTGTGTAAGAAATCCTTCCTTACTCCGAGATCGTGGTGATGCTCTATACTTTTAAAAATTTTGCTTTTTACCTGGCATTGATTAATGTACTTTGAATGATTGTTTGGGGAATGGTATAAGGTAGACATCTAATGTCATTTTTCCCCTTATGGATCACCAGGTGTCCCCCGCCATCCACTGAATAGCTCTTCCTCTGTAGATTGCATCGCCACTTCCAACACTTACTACTATACATTCCTGGGTTGATTTCCAGCGTCTCTGTTTTGCTTCAGTATTGTATTTGTATATTTCTAGGCTAATCATATCCTCTCTTGATTACTATAGCTTGATAAGAAGTGTTTGTATCTGGTGGGACAAGTATTTCCACTTCATTCTGCAAACTTGTCTTAACTAGAATTATTTTAATAAATTCAGGAAAAATCTATTGAGATTTTCATTGGAATTGCACTGAGCTTACAGATTAAAATGAGGGGGAATTTACACATTTTTGGGGATGTCTTCTGATCCTTTCATTTATTCTGATCTACTTTTTATGTTCTTTCAGTAGTGCATTGTCATTTTCTCCATAGATACCATGTGCAAAGATTTATTCCTGTCTATCTTGATTTTTTTGTGTGTTTTTTTAAGTTGTGATTTGAGATCTTCCTGTTGCATTTTCTAATTGTTATTGATTTATAGAATGAGATACTTCTGTATATCTGATTTTATAAATAGAAACCTCCGTAAACACTCTTCATTGTTAAAGGTTAGTTGGTAGCGTCTCTTGCATTTTTCTATCAACTGAAAGTAGACAGGTTTCCGTATTCCTTTCTCATGCTAAACCAAAGTGCAGATAGTAGAGCAGGCATCCTTTCCCTGATCCTGACTTTAGTGGGAACAATTCTGAATTTTCGCTTAAATTTTATGTTTACCATTATTAGTTCCCCAGGGCTGTCATAACAAAGTGCCACAAACTAAGTGGCTTAAAACAACAGAAATATTGCCTCTCAGTTCTGGAGACTAGGGGTCCAAAATCAAGGTATCAGCAGGCGCTGTCTGTGAAAGCTGTAGCAGAGCATCTCTCCTTGTGGGTCCCTAGCTGCTGGTGGTGGCTGTCAATCACTGGCTTACAACTGTGGCATCACTCACATGGCTTGTCCCTGTGTCTGTCTGTGTCCAACTCTCCCTCTCCTTATACAGGCACCAGTCATACGGCCCACCCACCCCACTATGACCTCATCCCAGTCAGTTATATCTGTCATGACTCCATCTCCAAATAAAGTCAGTTCTGAGGTACTGGCGTTAGGACTTGAATAGAGCTTTTTGGGGGACACGATCCAACCCATGATACTACCATAGAGTTTGCTTTGTTTTGGTCTGTTTTTTAAGGAGAAGCAAGGAGTCTTATTTTTAAATTTTTTATTTTGAAAATTTTCGAATGCACGGAACTCATAAACCCTCCCCAAGCCTAGATGTTGGTTTATTTATTACAGTACCGGCTCCACACAGGAATATACTTGCCCCTCTCTCCCCCACCCACATACACACATCTATGTTCAAAAGTAAATTGGTGTATAATTTTTTTTGTACTGTTATTTTATAATGAATTGTATGGTTTTTCCTCTTTTCCTTTTTGCCGAATGTCTATATAAGACAGTTCATCTGTGTTTGGGAAGTTATGTAAAATTGGCCTATAAACTGTCCAGGCACTGGTATCTTGTTTGGTTTCCTCTTTGATTCAGTTATTTTTTAAGGAGTGAATTTCAAAATTTCCAAACATAGGGATTTTTAAAAAATTGTCTTTTAACTGTTGTATAGTGGTTAGAATCTGTGGTGTGTTTTGTTGAGATTTTCCTTGTGTCTTAAAGCTGGGTCAACTTGTCAAAACTTCTATATGTACTTAAAAAGAATGTAATTTTTCTTTTTGATTGTAGGTTCTAGCTGTATCTCATTTTGTTCATATAGTCTATATTCTTATCCATCTAATTTGACTAGATTTATACATTTCTGATAGAGTTATACTAACATCTTCAACTGTGGTTGTGGGTCCGTCCATCCATTTCTCCTTGTCATTTTGTCATCTTGCTATACTTGCCTGCTGCCTCCCCGTCACCCAGCCCGCGATGGAGGCTGCCCGGCACCAGAAATCGTTCCCAGGTTAGAGGCTGCTTATTCCTCGTTTCCTCATCTGTATCAACTCTACTGAGAGGTGGTTCACATCAAATGAACTGTACCCACTGAGCGTGAGCATGTGCATGTAGAACGGCTACCTCCTGCAGAGACAATCCTTGCATTATCATGAATCTGCTCTCCGGATCCATCCCTCTGCCAGGCTCTGACTTCATCACTTCCTCCTCTCCCTCACTCTACCCAGATGTGCTGACCTTGCTGCTCTGAAAATACCAAGTATACTCCTTTCTCAGAGCCTTTACACATGATTGTCCTCTCTGGAATGTTCTTGTATCTGCATGACCTATTATCTCACTTTGTTCAGTTCTCTGTTCAAATGTCACCTTATCAGAGGCCTTTTGAAACCACCCTATAT